ACAACCCAAGAAATTGGGGTTCATCTCAGCATACTCATGTGCCTTGTAGAAAACACCTACAATCTTCTTTTTGCCAGAAGAAGCTTGCAGAAGCAATCATCTCTCTCATACTCATCATCTTTTACTTCTGTTTAATCAATGCCATAAAAATTAGATCATTTGTAATTCCCTTACATCATCACTGCTTTGGATCAAATTAAGATGCAACTGGTAATTGTAAAGAATTCATGAACCTAAAATTAAACTCAACACAATTCTAGACATGCTTTACCTGACATGATTGTGAATAGCATAGGAGACTGAAATGTACAGATGGATAAGAAATTCTCAGAATATGAAGCACTTTTGGTGGAACATAATATGGATTTCCTATGATACCATTATCAGAAAACCCAAAATCAATAAGCTTCAAATGAGAATCTTAACTTTTTCACATGAGAAGGAAGCTAAAAAGAAACAATAATATATGTACAGTTCCCATTAACAAATTAAACTCATAATTTGAATATAAATTACCCGATTGAGCAACATGGATCAACTTTTGCGACTGAGATGCCGATTAGGGTTCGTGGAGGGAAAATGAAGCATCTATGTTGCTTCTTAACAATGTTTTCCTCTTGGAGTACATCTTCATCATCTGGATACGTATGTTCCGATGTTGGAACAGACCGCATGCAACTACAAATCGACCCATCTTAAGAAAAAACACAGATTAAGATTTTTTAGTAAAGTTAATTGCCATTACAAGTGTATAAAGAATACATAGTTACAGAGGAGATATCAAAATTGAAAAAGTAGTGATTATCAAATAAGTAGATACCATATTTATTAGACAGTCATTCTCATTTGGTGCACACTCCCCTATACGGCTCCAATTGATACCAGGGTCTTCAGGAGTGGAAGTGGCATCAGAAAGCAACTGAAGGGCTTTAGCAAGAAGATTAGGTGGGAAGAAAGACAAATGGTCCTGTATGTGTTAGAGAAGCTGTCAGTATAGGGAAATCCAAATACAGTAACCTGCATAAAGAAAAAAGCTAAATCTTAAATCCGAAAAATGATAGAGTAAGTAGTGTTTGGTAAATGAAATTAATAATGAAGTTACATGTGTCAGAAATCCAACTATATACATGGAGAAAACATGAACGCAAAACCGATCTGTCAGCAAAAGCTAGAAAATGTTAATCCACCAACATATGGAATGGATTTAGGTTTTTTACATATAACTTGGAAAGAAAAACGACTCTTAATTACCATGTTTAATTGGAAGAGAAAGAACACAAGAAACACAACTTCAAAGCTGTTGTTCATGAAGAAATCAAACTGAATTTAAGATATAACTTCATATATGTAAACAGAACCGAATATAAAAATGAGAGAGTTGTATATTTGAAAGGGAAAGAAGGAAGAGAAGTACTCATAGTTGGGTGATGTGGCAAGTAGAATTGGGGAAATTACAGCCGCATTTGCATTTGATGCCAGGATCACACACTGAAGGCATTTTCCAGCGCTTCTAACCACATAGCATCCATGCGTGTTAGTGGTTACCATTTAGGGAAAAGAGAAATAGACATTGGAATGGAGATAGTAGTCACCGTTTGGGGAAGGGAGAAAGAGATCAATTCAGAAATTACCCTGAAAGCACCAAATCAATCATCAATTTTTAAACGTAAACCACTTTCAAGTAAATAGAGATGTAGAGAAAGAGAGAGCGATAGAAGAAACAAAAGGCGGTGATGGAAGTAACTCACAGTTCGAGATAAGGGAAGAGTAAGAAAATAATAGTCAGGGTGAAGGAAAGCATCGATGAATATAGTTTGGAACAACAATGTGTAGATACCTGTTCGGTGTTCAGGGCATGATTGTGCTTGTAGTTTCTGATCTTCGTCGACAGATGATGACAGTTACAGAGGATAAATGACTTGGGAAAAGAAATCGATGATGTTCATTTGAAGATGTCGATGGTGGTTTTGTACATTTTTATGTGTGTGGTAACTAATGGGGTGAAATTAGTAAGAAAAGGGAGAGCTTGATGATAGCAATTGTAAATGATGGTGGTGACAACATATTTACTGAAAACAAAAGACAGAGAATGTATGAGAGAGGTCGTGAGGTTTGTGAGTTTGTAATCACAGTAAACGGGGACACACCTCGCTATAGGGATCTCGAATACATGGTAATTTGAAATTAGGGTTTCCATTTCATTCTGATGGCGATCGAGAGAGAGAGAGAGAGAGAGAGAGAGAGAGAGAGGAGAGAGACAAAGAGAGGCGAGAGAGATCACTACATCTTTGGTGGGGGAAGTCGGCAGCCGTGGACCTTCGGTGGGAGACGTTGGTGGAGATCACTGCATCTTTGGTGGAGACAATGAGAATATGTTTGATGGCGGCTGTGTTTAGGAGATTAGGGTAAGGTCTGTGTAGTGTAATACATATATGATCGGTGTAGTGTAATACGTATAAATTGGTTATATGCTTAATATTATTGTACATGAGGTAATATATGTTGTATCTCTTAATTTTCAAGAAATAGGCAATATCCTTAATAATATAGTATATATATATATATATATATATATATATATATATATATATATATACCCATGGAATAGACTGGACTTGGACCGTTTTTTGGACCCTCGGGTCGGTTATCGGTTCTAGGATTTGATCAAAACCGGTGCGGCCGGGCCGGGTAAAAAAGTTTTGAACCTAATTTTAAAAAACTTTTCAAATATATTTTCTATTTATCCCTGTCATATTGACGGTTTGACCGAATATGGAATACCTATTGCGTCCTTTCTCGGGTTTATCTACATTTTGACGTAATTATTTTACGTTTCCGTGCTTATTTTATGAAGTATTTTGCTTGACATTGCTTTGGTCCCTGTTCTGTTGCTATTGAAAAAATTCTTTTTAAATCCATATAATTTTAAATTAATATAAAAACAACTTATTTAGATGTTTTTCAATTTTATTTAAAAATAGTTTTGGTGCAATTTTAAGCTTATTTAACATTTAAATTTAGAATTTACATTTACCACTATATTTAAAAAAATCACTTTTTTATATTCATCTATGTTCAAAAGTAACAAATTAAATATATTAAGTTGCAAGTTACCGACATTTCATATTTGAACATATCGGGAACAAGCAAACCACTAATACTCGACAGGGTGAGGGATAGGTGATCATGAAACCTTATTGAGTTTGATTTGGCGGGGATCATTGAATCTATCTTAGATTTTTATCGTGAAACATAAACTATATTCTTGAATGTTTATTGGTGGTATCTTGTGTTAGAATAAGCTTGTTCATGAACTCATAATCATACGTTGCAAACATTATGGTCATTTTGTTAAAGTCAGATATACAGTGACTTTGTGATAACATAATACCACTTTATATAGTTATTTTAGTGAAGATTTCAATTTTACATCGATTTTTAATAAGAAAAGCGGTTGACCACCACTTTGAAGGTGGCCCTATTTGCAAAGTGAATATGCCCTCGGAGGCAACAATGGTGAAATGTGTGCATAAAGAACCAATGAGTGGTATGGGCTACTTCGAGAATGAGCATGAATTACTCTAAAAGGTACCATAGGGAAAAGGTTTTTAGTTATGTGTATAATGGATTTTTAATCTCTAAGTTTTATGGGAAGATATTTTAAACTCTTTAGACAATAGATTTTGATAAAATAGTGGTTACTTGATTTTTTTTTTAATTCTTCTATTATTTCTATTTATTTGAAGGGATATTTACCCCATTGACTAAGTTTGTCAAATATGCACCAAAGAAAACCCAAACCAAGGCAAATGGTAGCAAGTATGTTTGGGAGCCAAAATATGATGATGGCTTATATGAGACAAAGCGGGTGTGTGGAGGGTTTTGGTAGGACTAGTGTTTGAATGTGATGGTGGTGGATGATGTTTTCAATGGTCCTAGTGGGTGCCAATGGCGATTTCAAGGGTGGGGGTAACTGGCGTTGGTGTTTTAGGTGAAATCAGTGATATCAAGAGTGTGAATGGAGGTGTGATGGGGTAGGTGGGGCCATTTATTCAATATCTTCCCTAATAAATATAGAATTTTACCACATGGCATGTTCTCCTTTATTTTGACAAATATCAATTTCTGGTAATTTACAATTAAATCATTTCCACTTGTCAGTATAAGACAATGCCACCTAATAAAAATGTATATGATCTAATTTAAGTAAATTAAATAAATCAAGCAATTCAATCAATTTTTTTAAACATATATTAGGAAAGTGTTCAATCAATCTTCAATTTAGTTATGATCCTCCAATAATCAAGCATCGATTATATTGTTTCTTTACAAATTTAAGCTTGATTTCATTAATCATTCATATTTCAAAACTTTCACTTAATTTGCTTCAAAACTTTTACTTGATTTCCTTTAAATCGGTCAATGAAATATTTTCGTTTGTATATAAAAAAAATTACGTTGAAATGGGATATTTAGACAGTGAAGGAAACCTTGCCAATAAGACATTTAATGTTGTATTCAAAGAAGTATTTGGAAATTTATGATTTTTAAAAATTATTTAGAATATTTCATTAATGATTTTTTTATATATTTGGGTTCAATTACATACTTATTCAATAAAGTCTTTACTTATATATATTGTATTAATTTAATAATTGGTTGATATTCAAAATTTTATATTATTTTTTTAACAAACTCATAAAGTTTCAAATAAATATAAGGAAAAAGCAAAAAGTGAAGTAAAATAACCTAGGCATTTTTGTCATTTCACACCTCATTAAAGGTGGGACCCTTATGGTAAATGAGTAAAGGACCAATCTTGTTAGATTTTGAAATCAAGAGGACCGTTAGAAACAATTTTTCAAAATATGGATTAAAACTTCAGATTAGTGTGAACCATAAGGACCAAAGAAATATAATTTAGTCATTTCACACGTCAATAAAGCGTTTTTTTGGTTGGGAAAGAACCTTGAAGCCTTCGATCCCAACGCAAAAGAAAACCCCAACATTCTCATTCTCGCCACCCCCTTCGTTCTTCGTCGTCTGCTGACTTACTGCTCATCTTTATTGGCCTTGTCTCTCTTCAGGTAAAAAAAAGGCATATCCTTACAAGTTAGGTTGTCTTGTTGTTGGACAATTTTACTTACTAATCACAGATCACAGATCGCATATCACATCACAATCATTTGTTTTTTCATTAAAATTTTATTTATTTTATCTACTTTTGTTTAGTATTCCATATCAGTTAGTATATTTTCTAATCGTAAACAAGTTTTTTTTATTTGATTCGTTTTGAATAATCTTATCTGCTTCTTAATGGTAACTCAACAAACTTCAATATCCAATTGTAGTAATTCTAAATTTCCTGTTCCAGATCAGTTGAAGCCAGATTAGGATTTGATAGTAAATCAATCAGTTAATGCTCTGTTTAATGTAAATAACCAACAGTTAAGACCTAAAAATAAAGGCCATATTCGCTTCTCCATCATTTAATTGAACTTAAAATCATTATTCACTGTTACAGAAAAAGTAAAACTTGAGACATAATACATATTTTAGCCTTGCAACAAAAAACTTTGCTAATTAAAAAAAAATCATCAACTTAAATTCTACTAAATTTTTATTAATGTTTCGGTTAATTTGGTTAATTCAGTTTTGGTTCGGTTTTTTGGTTTTTATGCTGACACTTATCTGTAATAGTGCTTAGGCTAAATTACATATACGGTCCCTGTGGTATGTCAATAGTTACAGATCCCGTCCCTAAAATTTTCTTTTTGAAACTCTAACCGTCTATATGGTTATTTTTATTGCACCCATGCTTAAATATTTGGCGGTTAAAGTAATGTAAAATATCTAATTTACCCCTGCTTAAATATTTGTTAGTTTTTTTAAACTTTTATGCCCTCATCTCCTCTCTCTATTTTAGTTATTGATCTTGTAAGACACATACAATCACAAAACAATATAAATCCCCTGCTACACTTTGCTGAATCCAGACTGTTTCTGCTTGAAATAAGAAAATCCAGCAGCTTCTATGCTTAGATGCTTAAGCTTGATTCTCATGCATCCCTTGAACACAAAGCAACCAAATTTAGCGCTAATTAAACTGTAAATTGGCATTTTAACAAAAAATCAAAATCACTTAAAACACACATAAACATTATGCACTACATAGTTCCAAAATCAACTTGACGTTAGAAGTTTGGGGATAAAATTTGGCATATTAAGACAGTGAGAGTTAATATAATGAACTTTAAACATTTCTTAGGCATATTAATTCACATGGCAAAGTTCGGAGGTGCATATGTAATGCATTATAATCACTTAAGTTATATTTTATTCAAACGTATCATTATTATTATCGAGGTTTAAGTTTTTCGTTGAGATTTAAGTTGCATATTATAAATGTTAATAATTTTGGATTTTATGTAAAGACATTTTGTACTGGATCCTGACATCAAGCACACGTGAGGCATTTTGTACTGGACAAGCATAATTCTTGGACAACACGATGATAAAAAGTCCGAGATAAGGAGAATTGCGAAATATCAGTACCTTCTTGGATGATGAAGAGATTGAAAAAGTGGAAGATTTGAAATTGGAATTGGAGAGTGCAATTAAGGCATCTTGGGCTTCTATTATCGTGTTGTCTTAGAATTATGCTACTTCAACATGGTGCCTCGATGAATTGGTGTTGATCCTTGAGCAGTGTATCACATCCAACCATATTGTTATCCCAATATTTTATCATGTGGAGCCCACACAATGTCCGGAAGCAACAAAGTAGCTTTGGAGATGCAATGGCTAAGCATAAAGAAACAATGAGGGAAGAGACAAATGCAAATAAAAAAGTCAACGGGCTAAAGCGATTATAGAAGTTGCTAATATAATAGGAAATGACATTAATAGAACGTAACCACTTTCTTGCCTGTATTTTCATATGCTCTTTAGTTTTGTTTGATTAACGTATGAAGTGATAATATCATCTTCTCTATATGCATTTCAATAAGTTTCCTCAATATTATCAAATAGGCATATATTTCATTTTTATGGATAAAGAAGATGCACAACATAGAATCGAAGTTTCATGTTATGTTATGCATTTATTGTGGTCATAAACTAAAATAACAGATAAGAACTGTAAAGGGATGTTCGGGTAAAATTCTGTAATTTTTACCTTTTTAGGTGCTTAGTTTTATATTATTAGTTGATAGTTATGGTTTATTGTTAATTAGTTTATTGATAAGGATCAAGGACTAGGGTTAGTTTAGGAAACTTTTGTATAAATAGGTCGGGAGGCAGAAATTGAGTTTAGAAAAACGGGGAGATTACCTACTTCTCGAATTGTAGGTACTATATTGTATTATTATTATTATTATTATTATTATTACACTTTAGTTATATTTAAAAAAGAGTTCAGTCCCATTCGTTTTAGTTCGCATTAAATATTTTGTTTTCGTGTCTTATGAATAATGACGTGATCCATTACCCAATTTCTTTAAATAAATGGATAAGACCCATTTAATATAATAGACGGATCATAACATAATTCTTTTAAATAGCTAGATCATATGGCCCAAATACACCCATTTGCTACACGGATTGACTATTTAAAATAACAAAAATGATACATAGTAAGTGACATGCTATATAAGAATAAACAGTAAAATTCCAATTTGTTTGGATTGCGATGTTGTAATTTGGTGTTGTTTTTTTCAAAAGGAGATGTGATAGAAAGACATAAAAGTATAGTGCTATAATAAACAAATAATAGAAGTACATTGTCATTTCTTGCCAATTTTCATTTCACCGGACTACACTTGCGATCAACCAATTGGGCGGATTTTACTCGCATTTAAATACACACACGCAAACAATCACAATTTGAGAAATATAGATGGCCCCTATGCATAACCATTAAAATACATTGGTATAATGTAACAAAAAGTTTTAAATGATATTTTGTGTGCAACATATTCATCGTTAAGCAAAGAAGGGAAAAAAAATTAGATTTTGACAAGTACTCCTATGTTATGTGACTTTTTGTACTTTAATTTACCAAAATAATAGTAATATAACAATTTATTGTGAAAGTACATTGCTTTAGTGAGAGGAATGGTTCATGTTAGTATTTTGTTGGAAAAAAAACTTTGAAGAACCTATTAAAATGGTTCTTGTTGCTAACTTACCGTTTTTCTTTTTTGATTTTTTTGGAAGAACTCATTAAAATGTCATATATTGGAACATAATCTTAAATAGCAATGTACTTTGAAAGTACTTGCTATAATTAACATGTAGTTCATAATAGTTTAGCTTACATTCTTTACCAAGTTAACCCTAAAATAGCAATGTACTTTGGAAGTATGTTGCTATAACTGACATGAATGGTTAACATATTGCCAAATTATCAATTTTTGAATGAATTAATCACAAAAATGACCAAAATGAAACTTTGTTATTGAGAACATAATTGTAATTTCTACACTTATTAGAAAATATCACCTATTTTGCAAAATAAATTTTGTGATTTGCAAAACTCGTTTTATCTACAAATAAATATTAAAAAAGTTAAAGAAAAACAATAGCATATCATTTCACAAAAGATGAATTTCGCAAGAAACATAATTCATACTATAATTTTGCAAAATGAATGAATATGATATGATAAATTTAAAAAATGTGGGCCATTTACTTAACTCTTATTTTCATTATTTTTGTGCAAAACACATAATAAAATAAATAAATAAATAAATAAATAAATAAATAAGTTGTAGCGGTGGTCGTTCGTAAAACAATTTTACAAATTCTAATGTAAAAAAGTAAGCCCATATGGTATTAATAGGTTGAGACTTTCATTTATCTAGTATAATAAATATAGACATATATTGAAGTATAATTTAACTTTTAGATTTTAAATGTACACATTTGAACCATCTTTTTAACAAATAACAATAAGCTAGTTCTTTTTATAGTATTTGATTTTCTACGGATCCATTGTATAAAATAAAAAAGCATTTCATTCTATATTTTTATTTATTTATTTTTATGAAATATTCCACAAAAAGATATATCAATCAAATGCTTGAAGATTCATAATGATATAAATCTCATCACAAAATCATTTTCAATTGTTGTACCCTTGTCTATCATAAATAGTTAATTTCAGACAAAGAAACAACATTCGTTTTGTGATGCAACGTGTTTGAATGGTAATCTTTGCTATTGGTTTTTTTTTACTATTGTTTGAATAGCACTTGTTCTAGTAT